GATCGAAGATTGGAGAAAGTCTTGAGAGTTGAGGAAAAAGGTTCCTAGTATATTGAGGTGACAGTTAGGACCTTAGTTCATAAGACTTATTGTACATAGGTTAAGTCTTTGAATTTTTTGTCGAATTCCAAAGGGGAATAGATTTAAGTTAGCAACTAGATTGAATTAAGTTTTGTTGAGTTGATTCTTATTGATTTTCATTGAATAAATTGTTGTTTGATTTTTACTAAATTTTGTATATAGTTATTACTAGAATTATTATTAAATATTTGATTGTTTTTNTGTCGGAATTCCAAGGGGAATAGTTCTAAGTTAGAATAAGACTTAAGTTTGTCGGGTTGATTTGTGATTTGATTTTTGATTAATAAATTTGTTGTTTGTTTATAAATCTTGTACATAGTATTGGTTAAACTTGATTAAACATTTATTATTGAGATTTTTTTTGTGACTAACTTTGTCCTTAATTTATTTCGGTGCACGCTAAAAGTTCAGGCCTGGCAACTAACAAACGCGAACCCGCGTAAAGTACCCATTAGGTCCCGGCTCTAAGAAAAATATCGTTGTAGAGCAACAAATTAAAAAGAGTACTTTACAGTAGGTCAGCTGTTATTCCCGGTTCTGTGGCAACAGTTGAGAGGGGGGTAGTGTGTTTTTTATTGTCAATGTTGTATTTGTGCTCACGAAGCTGTTTATGAAGGGAATGTTTGGTTGAGTCCACATAAACCAAATGGCTATTAAATCTGTCATCCCAATCAACCAATAGATAGATAGATGATAGATAGATGGAACTATGGAACATTATTCCCTCCCATCTAAAGGACCTTTATAACACCTGCCTAACTTATTCTGTATTCCCCAAAGCTTGGAAGATGGCAAAGGTGATTCCAGTCCCTAAACCTGGATCAAATACAGACAGCAGACCAATCTCCTTGTTACCAATAATGGAAAAAATTCTCAAGAAATTAATCACGAAAAGACTTACATGGCACATCAAGAAAAACAAATTTTTAAGTGACTCACAGTTCAGATTTAGACAGTAGAGATCGGCAGAAGATGCCATAGAAAAAACAGTCAACTATATACAACAACTACTACAAGATAACAAATATGTCCTAGAGGTCAGCCTTGATATTTCCAAGGCATTTGACAGTGCTTGGTGGCCCCTAGTGACATATCAACTTCGTCAATTCAAATGCCCAAGAAACCTTCTAAGTCTTCTAACTGACTACTTTAAAGAAAGAGAAGCGTTATTGCAATATGGACAACATACAGTTCAAAAGAAAATAAGCAGAGGATGTCTGCAAGGTTCAGTCTGTGGACCCCTCTTGTGGAACGTGATGTTTGATACATTTTTAAAAAATAACTTTGGGCAAACACACTGCATTGCTTATGCAGATGATGTGATCATGCTGCTAGAGGGAAGATCAAGGGCCGAATTAGAGACTAAAGGTAATTCACTTCTACAATGGATACACAAATGGGGAGAGCAACATAAGCTCCAATTCAATACAAAGAAGACAGTGTTCAATAAACCAAGAAAAAGTAATCTATACCTCAGACCCCTCATCTAAAGATGAATGGAAACACTATAAAAGTTGATAAGACATTAAAATATCTAAGAGTAGTTCTCGATTTTAGGCTGTCCTGGGACAACCATATAGAAAACATAACTGGACGCACCGGAATTATCTGTCAGGCCTTCGCCCAGATTACTAAACAAAAATGGGGGTTCAACTCAAAAACTTTATCAACCATTTACGACAGTATATATATTCCAACTATAACTTATGCTTGCGGAACATGGGGCTGGGCAATAGCCAAAGTACACTCCAAAAGAAAACTACTCTCATCACAGAGGTGTGTCCTTTTGATGATTTCAAAAGCATATCGCACCACTAGCAATGTGTGTTTACAAATAATCACCAGGAAACTGCCAATAGATCTCATCATCAACCAAAAGCAACTTACTAACAAACTCAAATGGGGAGAAAACATTCAAACCACCACTCGAAATATTAGACATCAAGACATTGAGTGGCCTTCTCAACTAGGAGAGACACTTCCGCCAGACAAATCCTTTTCCAACTTTGACAATAATACATATGAAGACATTCTACATATATATACGGATGGATCGAGACATGACAATAAAGTTCGCTGTAGTTACGTGATATTCAAAGAAAACAAAGAGATAAACCATCAAAGTTCCTGCTACACAATGACTGCACAATATTCCAAGCGGAGATGTGGGCCATATACAGTAAAACCTCTCTAATCCATCACCTTTGGGACTGGGGGTATGGTCGGAACGCAAAAAAGGTCAGATTATCAGAAAAAAGTAAAATAAACAATCTTCCCCTTTGTCCAGTCTTTGTAGCACTGCTAATTTTTCATTTAATGAAAGAGTAATGTGTTTATGTTTCACTCCTGACATGTTGAAAACACACACAAAACTGTACACGTACACACAATGTAAAACATATACTGTAACGAACACAGAAAAACGCCACGGACGGTGAGTCACCGACGAGTCGGGACAAGTTTCTCGACTCCGACCACGGTCGAATTAACCGGAGTGACAGACTAGCCGAGGGCGGACTAGAGGGGTTCTACTGTACATGGCAATAGAACGTATCAACTCTACCTGCAATAATCAACATATAAAAATACACACAGATTCTCTCTCTGCTTTTAACATTATAAAAAGTAGAAATCTACACCTATTAGCAGATAAAATAAAAAAAACGATATTCTCATCTATGAACAACTTTGAAATCCTTTGGGTAAGAACACACCAGGGAGAAACAGGGAATGAGATAGCAAAGGAGGCTGCAGATGAAGAAACTCTTCCCATTTCTTACAGCAAGATAAGCAAATGTACACTGAACAATATTCTGTGGAAAGACACTATTTATCAATGGCAAATCAGATGGGATCAACACAAAGAACACATAACCTACAGCTTTGTCTCAAATTTGAAAAATTTTCTAGAAAATAAATGTTACAGCCCCAATTTTTACAACTCACAGATAATGACAAATCATGGCAGATATGCCACTTATTTAGCAAGATTTACCAATGGGACTTCCAAGCTTTGTCTGACCTGTATAATGGAAGACGGGGCATTACACTACTTGTTACACTGTCCCATTCTAGCTCGAGAGAGACTGGAGCTTCAAATTTTACTACAGGAACAAGGGATAAGCTGGCCTTGTAAACCATCAGACATATGGTTAACTAAGGATGTATATAAGGCCTTTGAAAGGCTCAGTAAGCAAATATGCTATGTGACATATAATCTAACCTATAGATAAGATTACTTTGTTATATTTGTATCATTTTCTCTATTATCTAATGCATTTATAAACTTTGTTATTTACAATTATGTAAAGTATCTACCTAATAATGTACATATTTTGTTATTGTTATGTCCACTTATATCATGTTATCCACTATTATATAGTATTTTATATTCTGTAGTCAATATATTTCTGCTTCTAACCCCTGGTAATGCCATAAGCAGTACCAGGGTATGTACTTATAAAAATTTTAGTACCAATAAAAATATAATGAATGAATGAATGAATGTATTCGTAGAGATCACAAGCTCCCATCTAGGACACTTTATTATAATGTTTATATCTGTTTATTTTCTTCCTTAGTGAGGATTTTCAGACCTTCTTGCAAGTTGCAATGTTTCATATGTTTGTTCATGTACTCCTAGTTTGGCATGCTTTCGTGTTGTCAGTTTTTTTCTTAAACATGTGGTGTTTTTTTGGTCATCATATGTTCATTGTTTTATGCCCTATGTTAATGGTCTTGTTGGTCTCCCATTACAAGTTGTAATATTTTGTCTAGTCACTTTGTGAGTGTCCCTCGCTTATGACACTTCTGTAACATGGGCATCTATTCTCTTTGTACATATTGTTTATTGTCTTGTCATAAGGAACTTTGTCAGTTCCCCCATTGCAAATACAATGGGTACTATAAATATGTTATGTTTGCATGCCTATCACTTAGGACACTTCTGTAATTCTTAACTACTGTTCCACAATTGAATTTAAATTTTTAATTTTGTTTTAAATAAAAGCGATGCAGGTACCCTCAGAACTTCTGTTTCATCCCCTTTCCTATCCTTCTTTATAATTTCACCTTCAACCTCTTCCTCTAAATCATCTTTCTTCTTCATTTTAACCCCAAGCAACACCTTTGAGTAGCCCTGGTTTCATCCCCTATCTGCTAAAAGTATTTTATTGTAATCAATTTGAATAAATGGCTTAATATTTAGTTTCTTATGTTTGACAAGTGCTAAGATATTATTTATAAAAATAATATTAACATTGTGCAAAAAGTACAGTTAATAATGGAAATTTTTACATCTTGATCTAATACCCAAAGGATAGAGCTGATTAACTATTGAGCTAGAATTTGGCAATTATACTAATAATCAAATGACAGAGCTAAGTTTTATAATGATGTAATAAACTTAAACTACATTATTTTTACATTTTAACTTTAAAATGTCATTTAAAGATAAAATGTAAAAATAAAATATAACCAAAAAATACAGTAGAAATAACTCCATTAAATAAAACATTTATTTTTATTTCTTATCTTTAAACAATGCTTGAAAAGTTCAAATGTCATTAATATTTGAATTTGTTGCAAAATTATTAGCTTGTTCTACATTGAAGTGTTCAATTTGAAGTGAGATAAAATAATCAAAAAACATTTAAATTAAAAATAAATAGGTTGGCTCTTTAAATTTCTATAGCAATTGTTTAAATTTAACATTGACAAAGTCAATGATTTTAAGACAGTATTACACTTACAAGAGAATAATAGAAACCTTCACTATTGGTCATTATATTATAATTTGTCTCTAAATTGAGTATCACTACAAAGCAAGTCTAATGTGTAAATCAATTTAAACTAGTTAAATTTATTATAATAAGTTATCAAATTATTACAATTAAATACAAAAAGTAAGTAACACTCACCTGAAACATTTTCTACTAATATGAGATGTAACAAATGAGAAAATGATTTCTCAGTACCATTTAGCCAAGCATCTTGTAAAGCATCATCCATTTCTTTTACCAGATGTGGTTCAATTTCCATTTTATCAGAAATTATCTTAAATATTATAATAAAATTAAAGAATAATTTAATTTCATATTAAAAATAATTTAAGAATTTGATATCAAATGAATAAATTATATTTATAACCAACATAGAAATGTAAATAATTGTAACAAATTTAATATAACTAAAAATGTTAATTAAAACAAAAATATCCAGATTATTTAAATGTTTAAGCATATTCATGTAAGCATGCCATCTTCACAATCAAATCAAATACAATTCACAAATCAAAACAAAAGGAATTTAAAATGAATCAAACATTTTATTGTTTTTCTACCTGAAGCTAGGTTAGAGATGATTATTAGTCTTTTCAATGTTCTTTTAATATAAACTATCCAATAAGAAATAACACTTCAATCTTTTAACTTTAGGTATTTCTGCAGCAATTTTTGCTTTTTTTTTAATTATTAATTAGGTTTCACTATTTAATAATTTAAAAACAGAATTAAATTTCAGCTGCCAATAATTTTCAATTTTAGTATGATTTTTGCTTGTATACATTATAAATTTCAGAAGAATCCAGAATAGATTATAGTTTTTTACTTCTTTAACCTTCCAATAGTAGACTATTCAGGTATGGTTCTCCACTACTGGTACCCCCAGTAGTGGAGAATAAATGTGGGAAATTTTTGAAGTATTTTTTCTCATTACCATTTCAGAAAAAGATTTTGTAAACAGTTATGTCTAGTACAAAAAGTCTTTTTTTATTGTTACATAATTCATTTTTTATGTGAATTTTTTTTTGTGGTAGTTTTAGGCTAGTTTTTGGATATATTCGTCCCTCACCATTGCCACACGATCGCTCTTTACGAATATATTCGTTGTTCACTGCTGAGTGGTTAATAACAGTCAATTGTTCTTGTTTACTTTGCATTGAGTATCCTAAGCATAATATCAGTGAATTTTTTAAACAAGTTGATTAAATTCAACCTACAGCCAACTTATCAAAGTTGATTTATTAAAGTTATATATAAACTGGTTACAACTTTCTTTCAACATTCATTAATAACTGAAAACAATACACATTTTTCTAGAAAACAGAATCTTTAATTTACTGATATGGTTGAAATGTAATTGGCATCTGTCGACACATCATTATCCTTCTACATCACATTATCTTTTTACATGTGGCATTGTTCTAATTTTTTTGTTCAGTGAATAAAGTTGAATAAAATCAGTATTTGTATTGGCTTAGTTCAACACTTCAAATATGTTGAACTAAGTTAAAATAGGTTAACACTTAGTTACAGAATAAGCTAGCTAATAATTCTGAATTATATTGAATTATGACAAAACAAGTACCATTGAGAAAATAGAAGTGGAGATATTTCTCTATACCAAGGAAAAACTTAAAGTCCATAGTGGTTTATAGGCTTCCTTACCCTTGTAATATTAATTTTATTTTTACTAACAGAAAAAAAATCTATAAGACTGCTACTTATTAATAAAAAAACATTTTTTGCATATTTTATTTGTTCAAAAAATATTGCTAAAGGAGCCCATTGAGAAGCAATAGGGAATCATTCTATTCCTGGGCCCTGTACAAGCTCTTGATGGTCCAGGTTAGAACCAGTAGGAATTGTCTCCTAATCATTGCACATCAATCAATATGGTGAGAAAAACTGCTGAGCTAGTGGTACAGAAGCAGATTCTTTACAATTATTCACTTTGGAAGATTTGTATGGAGATACTACTAATCAGTAAAGACTTACATGATCTTATCTCTGAAGAACTATTGAAAACATAAAAGCTGCATTGAACCAATCCTGTCACTCATGCACTGATCAATTTACACATCACAGTCAATAAAATCTGGTGTGTCCAAAACAAAACAACTGATAAAGAAATATAGAACAGATTACACATCAAACAAAAGAAGAAAAATCTCTCAAGTTGTTCCTATTCAACAAACTAGTTAATATGAATTAGTTAAAAATGAAAAGACATTAACTCATACCAAAAAACTATTGGAGCTAGTGGACTAACATGTAAACTATAGGAAAACAAAAACATGCTAACATGTGTAGACATGTTAACATGTATGTTATGCACATTACAAGAAGATTTCTTTCCCTTAATTATAGCTTGAAGGCTCGAATTGAAGACGACTTAATCCTAGATTTCCCTAAAAACAAGTTAATTAGTAAATACACTTGCAGAGTAGAGAACAAAACTGATCATAATAATAGAGATATTGTATTCAAAAGATGAAAATGTCAAACCAAAAAAAATTAGAAAGTTCTGCGCACATTGTTATAAGAAGGATCATAGCTAAGATGAATTCTGGTATTTGAATGAATAGGTGACAGGAAAAGCACCCTGATACAAATATTCGGCAGAAGAGGAGAGGGAATGTTTACAGCATGTAAAAACATTGTTTTTATCATAAAACAATCTTTATTTGTCATTTTGTTGCCATCATAACAGATGGCACCACATGCAGTTTTGCCAGGAAAGTTAAGCAACTTATTGCTGAATTTTTCTCATATAGATTACAAATAAATACAAATAAATGTTTGAATATTTTAGATGTATTTCTTTACAAGCTATTAACCTTCTATTACATCAATACAAAGATACTCTGAGGATTTTTATGAGTTTAGTCAGCTTGTCTTATGTTGTTACTGTAAGCTTTCATTTAAAAAAATCCACACATACAGCAAAAAACCCCCAAATGTTTTTTGCATTTGTCAACTTTCAAGGTCCTAAGTCCAAAAATGTAAAAATCTTGAGGGGGTTATTTTTTGACCGATTGCCATACTTTTCCTCTGTTATATCAGAACCAGGAAAGTAATAGTCAATTATTAAATTGATAAAATTTTGACTGTTTTTTTTAATAAATAAGTTTCATGTCACTAGATGCAAAACATGCTTGGTTTAAATATTAAATTCTACCTAATAAAGAATATTGTTGTTATATTCTTATATTTTGTATGTATTATTTATTTTCCAACTATTGTCTCTACATTGCTATAATATTGAAATTACATATACAACTGAGAAATTATCATCTCACTCATATTATTAGCTTTTATTCTAATGATAAATTTTATAAAAGCACTTAAGATTATTTTTGAAATATCAACATTTACAATTCTCTACATGGTGAGCTGGAACCTACTAATTATGTCACACCTTCCACACTATTTCCAACAAAACAGTTTAATAAAAGTTACAAAACAAACATTTTCAGCTACGTTAAATGCTCCAGGTTTTTAACAGTCTAAAATCCCAGAAAACATTTGTTTCATTAAATGTTTAATAAACTGTTTTGCCTTGAGAAAATGTTAAATACCTTCTTGTAAGGATACTCGAAAAATATATCAATAACTCACAAAACCTTTGAATATACATTAAAATTATTTAATTGAAATAACAAACGTTTTCAACCTTAATTTTCAGTCTTCATCAGGTTTTACAAATGCTAAGATTCTAAGAACAGTTCTGTGCAATGAATTTAAAAACATCAGAACATTGTGCACGTGCGTTGCCATGGATGCACACGTGACGTTACCATATGCAGCATTCATATCACAAACAAAATATTATAAGTATTATATACACAAAAATTAAATAAAAGAAAATAAATTACAAAAAAATATATATATAACATTACAATAAATTACAATAAAAATAAGATAAACTAACATAAGTATGTGTACATTAAATAGAGGTATGGGGGTTGTGGTCTTCCTCATAACAGAACTTCCAAGCTTGAGATATATTAATAGCATCTTGTAAGGAACCAAGTCCGAGCATTATTTTTAGTTACTTTTTATTTTGCTTTTTATTCTATTTTTGTTTGGAGCTTATGTTTTGTTAGGACGAATGTTTCCTCGCCACTCACCTTAGAAACTTAAAATAGAAGAAAGAAAAACCAACTCACCAACGAGAAAAAGCGCTGTAGAAAAAGCTCGCGCACACTTGCACTCCTGAGCAGAAAAAAGTCAGCCAGCACCGAGAAGAGGGGAGACCCCACAAGCACAGGAACTTGCTAAACCTTAAAAAAATAAAACATCATCCCGAAATATTGTCAGAAAGAGGGGGGCGTGACTTGACCGTGAGCGCTGCTGGTGACTTTGTTTTTACACCTCGACGTAAATTTAGAATTTAGTGTATTTTTTCAATTTTATTATCTGAATTAACCAAAAGTGTTTAATACTAATAAGAAATAACCAAGTTCGAGGAAAATTAATAATTAATAAGTATGCAACGTTCACCAAAAAAACGTGGTAGACCGCCAACTAATAGAAGCAAACCGGAAAGCAAAAAGACGCAACCAGGTACATCTAATTTCAAGCTTATAACGGACTACAACTTATCAATGGATAAAGAATTACAGGAATCGTCTACGGCAAACAATGGTTCACATACGGATATATCTAAACAAAATCTACAAAGCTTTTCAGGTGAGTCCAATGTAATTAATTCATCTACTCCAATAAGCTCGAATGACACTTTAACAGCAGATCTATGGAATAGGATATCTGAATTGATTAATACTTCTAATGATAAACTATCTGCACAAATGGAATATATAAAAGAAGAACTGAATTTAATTCATGGTACTATACGGGAAAATAAAATTCAATTTGAAAAAATGGAAAGTTCAATAGATAATCTAAAAATTCAAATTGACAATTTAAAATCTGAAAAGGAACTGATACAGTATAAAATGGATACTCTAATTAATGACTGTCATTATAATAATATAGTATTATACAACTATCCTTCGTCAAAAAGCACTTCCAAACCAGAAATTCTTAAATTCATCAACTTAACATTAAACCTAAATAATGTAACTCAGGAGGATATCCTAGATATAATTCAAATAACCAAATCAACCAACCAGATTATAAAACTATCACTTAGTACGAAACAGACCCGTGATCAAATATATAATGCTTTCATATCAAAGAAACAACGTAAATTAATGGAAGACTGGGGTAATATACAGATAGCACCTGATCTTACTAAAGAAACACGTAAAA